TGGATGAGTTTCCTGCACCTTTTTTAGCCACATGCCATTATTGATCGCATTTGAAATGAATGCATATCATAGGACACTTATTTATTATATATTCTTAATGGAATGACGTTACTCTGTATTGTTTCTTTCTTTCTTTTAGTGTGGATCAAATAACCATTCCATCAAAACGTGCAGGTCAGCCACCATTGAGACGTATTCCAGAGGTGTTTGATTGCTGGTTTGAAAGTGGAAGGTGAGTCTCTCTTGTTGAGTACAGTAAAATCTGTCATTGCATAAAAATCTTTCAAAACCAAATCCCATATAAACTATTTTCAGCTTTCAATTATTGGAAGTTTATTCAGTTTCAGGTCCTGATGTTTTTAAGTTCTTTGTTCATAATGTCTTGAGTGGAAAGACACTGTTAATCCATTCGTTATTCACTGGGTTTTAATTTTGCTATTTTTGCTGATAATGTAAATCCACTAAATTAAATCTACACGAACATGTAAAATAACAATAAAACTCATCGTTTCCTTGACAAATTCGTGAAATTAAAACACAGGAGCAGTGCTGACCATCACAACTGTCATCTGATATACACTACAGTCATGTGACATGCACAACGGTCATGTGACATGCACAACGGTCATGTGACATGCAAAACGGTCATGTGACATGCAAAACGGTCATGTGATATGCACAACGGTCATGTGATATACACCACAGTCATGGGATATGCACAACGGTCATGTGATATGCACAACAGTCATGTGATATGCACAACGGTCATGTGATATGCACCACGGTCATGTGATATGCACCACGATCATGTGATATACACCACGATCATGTGATATACACCACAGTCATGGGGTATGCACAACGGTCATGTGATATGCACAACGGTCATGTGATATACACCACGGTCATGTGATATACACCACAGTCATGGGATATGCACAACGGTCATGTGATATGCACAACGGTCATGTGATATGCACAACGGTCATGTGATATACACCACGGTCATGTGATATACACCACGGTCATGTGATATGCACAACGGTCATGTGATATGCACAACGATCATGTGACATGCCCAACAGTCATGATATATACACCACAGTCATGTGATACGCACCAGTCATGTGATACACACCACAGTCAT